GTGAATTTGTGCTTACACATCCTTGGAGAGTCCTTCTCTACGGGTACAACTTCTCTCAAAGTGTTACCAAGATGTGGAATACCCTCAAATGCCAGAATCTACAGTTAAAGTTACAATCTGTGAGAGTTAAATGGGAAGAAATAATATTTCAATACGTAAACGCTTGAATCATAGAGATTTACCTCCAAAGGAAGAATGAATCAACAAGCACAAGTTTGTGCTTTCGGTTTGACGGTCCCTTTCAAGTTCTTCATCACGCTCCAAATCCCTTTCATACACTCATCAAATGAATACCGCCCACAGGGAAATTTTTTGCAAACATTGAAATCATCAACAACTCTTAGAAGGAAACTCTCTATGTTTCCATCATCCTTAGAGTGTGCTTTCACTACCTTGCATATCTTTAACTTTAGTTTTATCAGTTCTTTTAAACATCCTCTCAGCAAACGTGAAATCCCCCATTTTCTCATAGTATTTCGGATACTCACGGCAGTCTAATCTAGATAGCAACGCGTGCTGTTTCAAAGAATACCTAATAGATACTCCATTTACCACAAACCAGCTCTCTCTTACCATATCCGTTTTACATGTGCGAAATAAAAGCATCCAGAAGCCTTGCATCAAGTGGTTTGGCTCCTTATGCATGTGAAATATATGCATGAAGTATGAATGCTGCCTGAGCCAACTGATATCTTGTTTAAACGACTCTATGAATTCCACTGTTTGCGTCACAATACGCCTACTTCCTAACTTACAACCCTTTGTGTATTCAGTTGGAGTAAAGAACATTCCTTCTAGCGGTAGTGGTTGGGAATCATCATTGGTATCTTCAGAATCCTCTTTGTTATCCTCACCAAGATCATCACCATCATGATCCTCACCATTATCTTTCTCAGCTGTTTCATACTCACCAAGATCCATATTATCGCCAGCCTTATCCTCACCATCATTATCCTCACCATCATCATCCTCACCCTCATTACCATCACTATCATCATCCTCTACATCATCATGCTCACCAACCTCATAACCATCTTGGCTTTCATTATCAGCAGCCTTATCCTCACCATCATCATTACATGTATCCTGGTAATGCAAACACAATTAAAAATTACTTAGTTGTTCTAGTTCTTCATATTGGTCCGTAGGAAACAAATGTTAGTTGTACTAGTTGATTGTTTCCATTATTCCTAAATTTCTATCAAGCTGTTTTAAAACCATTATAATATATATACCTTATCTTTCCAAGTGATTACCGTTAATAGAAAGTGGAAAATTCTGTTCTTGGTGTATGTTTTGGTTTGTTCAGTTGTGTTGATTTTTTTGGGGGTGTATACTTTGGGAAGGATATGGGTTCAGTTGTTTTGACTATCTCGTGCTTTGTCCTAATCACTTTCCTGCACGATTTTCTGCATATATTTCACTACAAGAAAACATATCAATTTCCGACCACCATTTCCGACCAAAATAATAGTCGGAAATTTTCCGACAAATTTCCAACCATTTTCCCACTAATTTCTGAGGAATTAAAATTCGTCAAAAATTAGTCGGAAATTAGCAAAAATTTCCGACCAAACAAAAGTGGTCGAAAATTTGTCAAATTATTTGGTCGGAAATTTAGTGGTCGTCGGAATTTAGTCGTAACTTCATCGAAACATATATTATTCTTGTTTTTGTATTTTTTATTTTCATAATAAAATAAGTGGTTGGAAATTGGTCGGAAATTCCATAGAATTGGTAGGAAATTTTCCTACAAAATTCCGACAAATACTTCCGACAAATTTTCGAGGATGTTTTTTTGTCAGTAATTTCCGACCAATTTCCGAAGAATATTAATTTCCGACCAAAGAATACCGACAAATTTAATTTTGTCTAAAATTCGTAGGAATATGTCATTTCCGACAAAATTCCGACCAATATCGTCGTCGAAAATTGGCATGTTTTCTTGTAGTGTTTTAATGATGTAAATAATTTAGAAACATGCTTTTTCAACAGAAGTCAAATCTTCCCGATAAACTTCCCCTGATTGGAAAACCGGAGAGAACTCAAACGCAGATGCTCAAACAAATCTATTTGATATGAGCACTTTGAGGAAGGAAATTCCCACAGACATTGTTGCCTCTAAGGGTACTGGTGACCAGGAAAGATTCTAGGATCTAGATGAAATATCAATTCCAAGCATCACATCAACTCATGTCGGAAGCCAAAGAAAGAAACTACAGCTCTTCCTTGGGGACAGACCCCTTCGTCTCCATTACACTTTGGGATCAATTTAAAATTTCAGGATACTGCTGGGAGACCAAAGTTGAACTTTGTAGTTAATTTGTATCCATGTCTTTGTAATGTACTGCAAGAATGTGACAGTGCTGCACATGCAACATCTATTGATTCAGGCAGCATTTCTGAGTGGAACCCAGTAATCATCCCAATAAGATTTTCAAGCTATCCTATCACAAGGATTCAGTAAGTTTGTCTATGTCTCTTTCTCTTGGTTCCATTTAGGAACCATGTTTGCTTAGCTTATCCTGATTGTTTCTTTTTTTGTGCAGTATACCGGCAAAGTCTTTTGGAACTGGAGACCGGTATGCAGCTGAGATACACAAGAGAGAGACCTCTGGAGTTACCATTTTGAGGAACCCAAAAGCTGAGGAGCTCAAAGACATGGTAAAATCTGGAACTGTCCTTGATGCCTTCTTGTCTTTGGAGCCATATGATTATAAGGAGAGAGTTGGAATCCGTCTAGGTTCTCAAAAGCTTGTAATCCACTAGCTTCTCTTTCATTGCCTTTAACTTCTCATGTAGCTTCTCCCTCTCTTTCTGTAAAACCGTTTCATTTAGCTTCTCTTTCATTGTAACTGAGTAAATTAGATAGAAAACCGTCTCACTAAATGGTTAGTGAATGGGACTAGATCACATTCTGAGTGTGACGAATATAAATTTAGGGATACTTTTCTAGATTTTTTCTTGTTTGTCGACTTCTAAACCAATATAAATTTATTTTTCATGAAAATACACTTCAAGAAAATACAAAAACTGTATAAAAGTAAATTTCACGTAATAACATTGCTAAACAATGATCATGTTCATCGTACGTGTTTGGAAATACTTTCTAAATAATTTTTTCGTTGGTATATGATAAAATTGTATAGTTAATATAAATTCATAATATATAAAGTTTTTTTTTGTTATTATGACTATGATTTAAATTTCATTTATGTATATAGTAGAATAGGACCCGCGTTAATGCGCGGATAAATACTAAAAAATTATTGACATAAATATATAAATTTTAATTAGTAACCGTTAAATTTTAAAATACTAATTAACGTGGTTTCTAAAACCAGTAAAACTCAATTTATATCATAACTCTCATATTACAATTTATATCATGCAAATCACTCATCTTCTATCAATATGATACATATTGATCCAAAGTACTTGCTTGGTCTCACACCAATGGGACGCCACCGTCACACCAATATGACCTTATCATTGGACTAGTTATGTTTTTAACTGGGTTTAATATATAAATTTGTATAATAAAGTATATGATTTCTAATATTTATAAACTTACAAAAAGAGTAAGCATTGTGGATAAATGTAATAATAAGATTATCCCACGAAATAAGATATGATCAAACTAGTTTTATATAATGTTGCACCATCTTCGTATTTTGAAAAAGACAATTTGAAGGCACCATTAACATTGGTCAACTTAGCTCTTTTATTGTCTATTACTTAAGTCTATTACTTAACATGTTAGCCACTCATAAAATATTTTCCTAGTACTCAAACACGGTAAGAAATTTGCTATGAAAAGGAAAGTCTTGTCCTTGCGATTATGATAGAGATTGACAATTCAACAAGCGGAAAAAGAGATGCAATAATTCTTATCTCAAAGTAGCAAAGCTCAATAGAATACAAAATTTCAAAATAGAGATTGGAGAAAACAAACTCTGGAAAGAATACACATTGAAGCAAAAGACAGTAGAAGCCTATGCTTGCTCCATTCTAAATCCATCACATCTTTGATCCAAAGCACAGTGCTGAAAGATACATTCAAGTCTACTAAATTCACAACCTTCATAACATTTTTCCGCCGAAAAACAATCAAAACCACCAATAGACAAAAATAAACTGAAAAACCTCACAATCACCTTGAAGGCATGACGCACCTTGCATCCCACGAGCTGAATAGTACTCTGCAAAACATGACTCATAAACATGTTTCATATGCATATATCACATGGTCAAATAAGAACACTTCCAAGATCAAAATAAAATCAACGTATGAAAAGAGTACGGTCTTTTGATAACTACTGCCTATAAAAGAAACAATGGAATCAAATATAAACTATGTATGGTGGAAACAAAATGTTGAACATGACTTAACAATTCAAGGGCATATGGAAACAAAAATAAACTATCTAAACATGTGTTAACATTTAAAGAATGCAAACAAATACTACACAGACTAAAAAATGAAACGATTCAACAATGGAAACAAATATAAGTGTTACTAAAATCCAGATTAAACAATCAGACAAAACAAAGATTCTAAAATCCTCAAATCCTAAACTAAGTGTATTCACCAAAAAACATGTCTAAGTAGCACTAACATCCAAGATTCTTCACTTACATATGATCCAGTAAATGTGAAGAGAAGAGATGTTTTAAGCCTCCTTTCCTTGGGTATTCTCTCGTGGTCTCCCCCGGCCTCTCTTTTTCTGATTTCCCTGGGTAGTCTCCTCCTTCTTCTTTCGTGGTCTCCCCCGGCATCTCTTTGGTGGTCTTCCTGGGCCTCTCTATGGAGGTGGACGCTATCCTCTCGGGCGAAAATAGTTTATTGGGTTTTTTTCCCGAGTATTATGCCTAATATCTGCTGGCTTCTCTACTAACGCCTCTTCGTCCTCAACATCCTCTTCGTCCTATTTTTCCTCCTCCTCCTCTTCGTCCACTTCTTCCTCCTCTTATTCACGAGACTGTCGTTCTTGACGAGACTATGACCCAACATCATCAGGCCGTGGCTCAACATCCTCTTCGTCCTCTTCGTCCTCCTCCTCCTCTTCGTCCTCTTCATCCTCTTCGTCCTCCTCGTCCTCCTCGTCTTCTTGACGAGACTGTTGCTCTTCTTTAACTACTTCATGAGAAGGGGAATTTTGGGGTGGCTGCTCAACATCATCAGTTGTAGCTGCTCCACATATAGGTTCGGCTCAACATGAGGCTGTGACTCAACATCAACAAAGATTTAGCCACAGAAAAGAAAAACAAAGAATCTAAATATATAGACCAAGCGGGTTCCATGAGGCACTTCTATTAGTAAAAGAAACACATTATATAACACACATGTGTTTCATGAGGCACTTGTGTTAAAAAAAGAATGATGTGCAAACAATATATCTTTAAACTATGGCACTCTAATTTCGTTTGTGTTAAACAGTATAACATCACCTCATTACTGTCATTGATATGATGACTTGAGCTTGCATGAGATGGAGGTTGTCTTCCCTGCCAGTTATTCAAAAGAATGATGTACAAAACAAACTGGAAATAATTCAATTGTTGAACCAAATTCCCTAATAGTTATTTTCAGCAATTAGGGAATTGGAACTGGTTGAAACTCATCTCCTCTTCCCTAATAGTTATTTTCAGCAAAATGATGCAAACGTTATGACTTAATTTTCCGCTAAAGAGTCTATACCTTTCTATCTAAATGAATGAACATATAACTTTAAACTTCTTTATATATATAAAAAATAACGCAATAAACAACTGATCAGATACTATGGCATCACCAATGCCTACCTCTCTTGGTATGTGGGACATACTATGACATCACAAAGTGTCAAATTAAAACGAACTTGTTATGGCGGTTACTGGAAAAAAACATGAAATTACCTGCTGTGGAGCTTCAAATTTTCTCACAGAATAGTTATGGCGGTTATCCCACTCTTCATTCACGTTTCTGTACAACAGAAGCACAACTCGCCAATCTTGTCCTTTATGTTGGCTAAACTTAACTTTTTTATGTTTACTCTTGCTTCTCGATAGACGTTGCAACTCTAATTTCTTCAGTCCGAGTTGCCTAAAGCATTTGTCCGGACGGTTGTAGGCGACCGCATGGAAACAAATACACAAAACCCGTAGATAAATCATCGACAACTGATCTTTGAACTCATCGGCTAATTCACCAAACCTTTCTAAAGCAAACACCTACAATAAAGTAACATAGAAAAAGAATTGTGAGTATGTATTATGAATTAAAGTAATTAATTTTCACTTCATTAAATAAAGACCTTACCATGATAGCATAAACAAACCCATATATGCTTTCGGTTTTGCTCTGATCAAGAAGAGCCTTGGTGTCATTCAATGACATTTAGGGATCCCACCATCGCGGTGCCCCAAGCGTACTTGTTAACTGTGTTTCTACCCAGGAGAGGTAAATAGATAGGAGAAACCCCTTCGGTATTGTTAGACATTATGACAGTGCCTAACAAATACAGCAGGTAAGCCTTTAGATAAGCATTACAGTCACGACACCCCTCGGGAACTTTTTCAAATCTTGTTCGTAGCATATTGAGATCCAGGCGGACATTTTTATGTGCGTCTTTTCTCTTGAAATATAAGGCGTCCACCTCTGTTTCAAGTATATTTAATTCTTGTGCAATTACAAGAGCAGAGACATTCTCAACTCCAGTCACATGCATCCCAATTGAGAATACAATAATCAATAGTGAGAAAAATAGTAATGAGGAAAATAGTAATAGTAATAACAGAGAAATATCGGGTCCCCGTTAATCGAAAGGCCAGTTAATAGTGAGGAGTTATTATCCCCGAAGAAAAATACACTCTCCTTTCTACGGTAGAAGTATGCCAAGGTAGTGAGGAGTGAAAAATTTAGGGTGAAAGACTTTCCTTCGTGACAGAAAATGTTTGAAGCACGTGGCTTCAACAAGTGTTTTTACTTGTGGATCAACTTTCCACATGGGGAACTTCTTCGCCAGATGCATATTATTTGTAATGGGTTTTCTCTGGTCCTCCATCTTGCCTACAAACTCATGTTGACAAAATTAATGCATCAATAAAAAGAGATGTGCTCACATAACGAAATACAAACCAAGAACACTAACTCAATGACTCATTACAACACATTTACAAGATTTTCTAAATTTGCCAAATTGAATTTCTAACAAGATCTATATATCAACAGAGAAGACGATAGACTATTGTCAAATTTAAGGGAACAACAAAAACCTCATGAAAGCACAAGATATCACAGTTCATTGAATTTGAAATTAATGCAAACGAAAATTCCTATGTAAGTCAGGTAATATACAAAAATTGATGGAAACAAATCAGAAATCAGTGTCCAAATAGATTTAGCTGATGGAAATAGCAAGAGCAAAAACTAACAAACACATTCCTCAATGAAACCAATCAGAAAGAGCTTGATCTAGACTTACTGATCCATAAAATGGACTTAGAAACTACACAATCCATACAAGAAGTAGAATCAAACGATGAAGAAAATAAAATCAATGGAACAATTGAACAAGAACAAACAAACAGACAAGAGGATCGATGGCTGTAACAAAGTAACAAACAGAGAGACAAGCTTTGAACTAAACAAGAACAAACTTCCTAGGTCCTAAATCAGTCGACAAGACTCAAGAGGATCAATGATTGTATTTGTCAGACTAAGACATAAACTAATCTCCAAGTATTTCTAGATACTTATGATTCAATGAAACGAACCCTAGATCCTAGCTTATCGAAACCCTCTTCCACTGCTAATATCCAGTTTGTGTTTTTTTTTTTTTGGATTTGGACAGAAGATGAAAAATAAGTTTATCGAAAAATGCAAGATCAAAAAATTAACTAATTCACAATTTTGGAATTTACGGACTTTTAACACTTGCTTTCGTTTCGATAATTATAACCTATATGTCTTTATCCTATAATTTGGTTTACCAATGCCATTAAAATAGTATGAGATTCACTTTTGGAGCCAAAGGTGCAATGCAATTTACAATTACATAACCACCTTTGGGTTATTTTTCGCAAACATGAGATATGTAGGTTACACTTGTATTTCAAATCAATTTAGGGGTCATTTTTAGTAACTTTGCCCATTTATATTGTCAAACCAACTGTAGTTTGATATTTATAGCATGCTTTAGTTAAGAATGGCATAATACAAACACCTGGGCGATTTTCATGAAAATCTCTAATTATGAATGGAATGCTACTGTTGGTGTACATTATACAAGTAAAACAATATATTCTTCTTCTTCGTCAACATCAATTTTCCAAGTTTATTTTTTTTGAAAATTAAATGATTATGTACTACCATTTTTTCCTTTTTTCGAGCTAATTACTCTCACTCTCGCTATATTTATTATGTACTGGTCTAACTAAAACCAATTTGAATTTTTCAGAAAGCTCGCTGAAATGAGTGCGTATCAAATATGGTATGTATTTTAACCTTTATTATCCTTTCATTTTCCAATTTTATTTACTCCTTGAAAAATTATAAATCGAGTTATGTTAAGATCCAAACGGTGTGTGATATGTGGTAAAAAATGCAAACGGTGTGTGAGTACCATTTAGCTATAGTAGACAGTTTGACCACATAGTTTTGTCTTCAACAAATTTCTTTATGTTTTTGCATATTACCACTTAGTCAATTAGTTAGTTTATGTTCCTTGATCAGTTTCACGTCATTTTGATGAACATGGCTATGTTAGAAGTTGGGTGATGGGCTTTTTTGAGCATTTTCAGAACAAACAAACCGTGAAACTAACATCTCTTTCCTATATGGTTTTTTCCTATATGATTTGATTTTACTCTCTTTACTCGTTGCATATTTTCAAAGAGTAATAGTCAAACTATAACGTTCAGGGCACAAAGACCAAACCTCATCAACTTCTTTTCCTTGTGAGAGACAAGAAGCTGCAAGTTTAATTAGGAAGAGCAATCTAAAAGAGGTTGAAGTGTATGAAGATGGTTAGTTTTCTCCGAGAGTCAACACTCTCTTCTTGTGTTTTAGATTAAGGGGATCATATTTCTCGAGTCATTAGATGGGTTGCAATATCAGTTTTCTGCTAAATGTTTAAAATATATGCTCATTCAAAACTCATTATCTACAATCTTCAATTTCTGCAGAACTCAAGAGCACCTTAACAAACTTTGCATATCGGAAGTCATTATCTGTTGACTTTGTATACCATTCCGTTGTAAATAAACAAAAATTATGTGACTGTGAATTATGTAGCTCGTACATATACTGAGGCTGTTTGATTATTCATTAGTCCACTACATTTGTTCTTTTTTTTAGTACACTAATTTGGTGTTTTAGATGTTAACCTTTGTGTTACGAACCTTCTAGCAAAGTTAGAAGTAGTGGCTAGGTTCTTGACCTTGTAGCAGATGCTCATTGCACTGAGGAGAGTGAGCCGTAGGTGAGGAGTTTGGAGGTTACAGTGAGTGAAATAAGCAGCGAGCTCTTGTTGTCGTGTCGAATCACCTTTCATTTCCCTTCTCTTCAGTTCCATTTGCAGACCAAGAATATATTCTTTCACAATAATGATCAGCTCTTTCACCTCGTTGACTTCTCTTCTTGACTCGACTACATCAAGAGGGATTGTGTGTAGGATAGAGAGGAAGATACGCAGGGCCTCAGTGAATTTTCCTGTTGTTGTGGCTTTGTAACCGGCCTTGAGCTTCTCTTCAAGTTGAGAGAAATGATAAACAAGAGCTGGTGGGCCACGAACGTTGGGGCTAGCAGATTTGTTCCACCCACGCTCAATGGCAAGTGACACCACAGGGGAAGAAGAAAGCGCACGGAGATAGCTATGGCTTCCGGTAAACAGATCAAGGAACATCGATCTCAACGGAACAAAGTTCTTTATCCCAAGCTGTCTGTGAAGCAAACGCATTGCAGTGTCAAAGCTACCCGCTGCAGCCTGCTCAGCAGCAGGAGATGACTTCTGGCTCCATATTTGATTAACATGCATGCCCCGAGTTGGCATCACGAAAACCGATGAGCGTGTGTTTGCAGAGCTCTTGGGTGTGTTGAGCTCCGGTGGTAACTTTAAGTCCTCAAAGATTATATAAGCTGAAAGCAAGATAGGAAACAGACAAGGAACTTACATAGTAGCATACATACAAACTGATCACAGCTAAAACTATGATATAGATTCTGTCACCAAGATCCACTATCTAGAAGTACCCGTTATTTCCAATGATGTAAGCTATGTTGCGAGTGGAGGTACGAAAATCAAAATCAGATGTACATCCACCATCTCTTTCTTTATCAAGAACCAGTGCCACCTTCTTCTTTTCATAACCGAAGAAACTTCCAGCAGAGAATAAGAAGGAAAAACCGGTCAGACGTTTCATATCAACCATTAGCAACACCTTTTTCCACGACACAACATCGGGCTCTAACCTGCTGCTAATCCATATCTTCAAAGTATATGAACAACTTCTTTTCTGCCATAAAACTTCAATCTATTTTCCCCTAACACTTGATAGAGCCACATTATCTAGACCGAAAGGCTTTAAAGGCAGAGGCATGCGCTGTCCAAATTTCTCCGTTGTGAATCAAAACCAGAGTACGAAAAAGGGCCATGGGTTCCATGTTTCTTATCTTGGGCAATCGAGAGACAAGCCATGTCGGAGAGACAAGCCATCGAGAATCATCGAAAAAGGGCCATGGGTTCCATGTATATAAGTGTTGCCATCGAGAGACAAGCCATGTCGGAGAATCTGTATGTGCTTGATCAGCGATCAGTTCCTGGGAATTCTATTCATGAATCATTGCAGCAAAAGGTGTAAGAATCATTGTCTAAAACTCTAAGGTGAGTGCGTGATCGTGCTTAGTGTCTTGAGTCAATATTTCTACTTCTGTAGGATCTTTTTCATATATATATCAAGAAAAGCCAAAAAAGAGGTAATCATAACTACCCATTAAACAACTTGTGTCTTGTCTTCTTCCTATCTCTGATCTTAAACCTATCAATTTGGTATCAGAGCCTTCATCTCGCTTTTGATTTGGACCACTTTGTGGTATCAATAGCAACCTTCATCCACTATCTATCTTGGTTTTGATCCAGACCACACTTGTGGTATCAATCCCTATTTTTATCATCGTTCTCAGTTTTGATCCGGACCACATTTATGGTATCAAAATCTATATCTTTCATATTAAAAAAAAAGAAAAAAAAAATAGTAGCCACAGGAAGCTGTCCTTTGATCTTCTAGTCAGAGAAGACGACACAAGCGGAGAAGATGGGAAGAAGTTATCCAAGAAGATGCATGAGGTTTCTTATGAACTTTGAGGACAAAGTTCTTTTGGAGGATGGAGAAAAATATTTAAAGTCTAGTTTTCTTATAAGATCTTGATTGGGACCTATCAATTGGTATCAGAGCTATAGAGCACCGCATCACCTTAAAAGAAGGAACTGACCCGATAAACGTACGTCCGTTTCGATATGCTCATTTTCAGAAGAACGAGATTGAGAAACAAGTTAATGAGATGCTAAAAATGGGGATAGTCAGGCCTAGGCGGGGTGACTAGTCCACCAATACTGAGCTCTCCTTGAACACCTCTCCTAACAGCCTTTAATACCCAATCCTTGCAGTATATCAGTTGGTCTAACAGAACCGAGACCATGCTACCATCCATTCTATCTCCTACTAGTTCTCTACCATCCCTAGTACTTGGCAATACACCACTCAATGCTATATCTATGAGCTGGATCTCACTCTCGTTCGCATTCCTGGTCTCCTTTCTAGCAAAAATCATACTAGCCAAGGACTTATGGAAATACCTCAAAGCTGGATTTCGGATTTGGGCGCTCTTAGATTTTGAAGAGGTGTACTCCTTCCCATCTCCAATTGTCTTCCAAACAGACTTGATCTCCTCCTTAAGCATATCTTGGCTCATCCCGCTTGCTTGCAAGAATCCATAGAGGTTTTCAACTTCTTTAAAAGTGAGAGAATAGGTAGCGCCCCTCACGCTGAAGGTGATGTATCCAAGGCACTCATCTAAGTGGAAATCGGTTTCATCCTCGTAGAAATGGAGCTGAAGTGAAGCCAACACGTAGCACGTCTCCTCGTCGTAGGCTTCCAAGGTTCTGGTCATGAATGAGCCAAGGCCGCTTCTCTGGAACAGAAACTCAACATCTCTTGCTATGCCCAGCTCCTTCATCGTTTGCCGGTGAGGATAGCGAGTTCCAACGAACTTTTGCTTCTTAAACATTGCATAAAGCTCTTCTGGAGGGGGCATGTTCTTGGTTTTCCTTGGAGCCACTACCCTTCTAGGCTCCATATCCACCATCGGTTCATCAACATCCTCTTCTGCAGGTCTTTTCCCCATCGAAACTTCTTCTTTGGAAATCGGGTGGGTCTGACCCGATCGACTGGCCCGATCGGGTGATCGGGTTCGTGCTCGGGCTTCTCTTCTTCCGCTTCTGACCCGATCGATTCCGGTTCCAGTGGCTTGGATTGTCAAGAAATTTCTTGCAATTTCTTCAGCAGATTGGCTGTGATGAGCTTCTCGTTGTGATCTTGAGAGGCTCTTCCTTCTGGGTTGGGGAATCCTAGAAGACATTCTTGTTTTCTGGGAATGAGAAACTCAAAACTCAAATTTAATAGGTTAGTAACCCAGAAAATAAGAACACCAAGAACAATCTTGAAAATAAACCCAGAAAATAAGAACACAAGGTTCAAATACACAAACAAACCCATAAAATGTGAAGAATCGAAAGCAAGTTTATCAACAAACTAGAGAATGAGAGTGTAATACCCCTCACCGGGACTAGTGCTCGGACGGACGGACGTGCATTACGACCTGGCACCAAAATCCAATGGATCCAAAGGGAAAATACATTATTGGCTTGGACGTTTAGGAGGGCTTAAGAAAGGGAGTAAGGAAGTACGAGAAATGGTCGATAACGAACGAGTGGAATGATTCTCCGACAGACGGACATGGTATCAAGGCAAGGCTATCGACCAAAACCATTCTATTGGCTAAGAAACCTTTAGGTAAAGCCCCTAAGTTAGTTTTAGACTAAATCTTATAGATTGGTTGAGAGAATAGTGGAAGTTGTCGATAGAAAAGTAGGGTTGGTCGAGAATGTGTGATAGGATGCTGAAGCCGGACGTTGGACAGCCAACGCTCTCGGTAGCCGGACGAAGGATTCATTGCCAGTATGGATTATTGTCAATGATCTGTATAAGAAAGTATTCGGTAAGTTTGTTTCCCTAAGCCGGCATCAGACGGAAAAGAAGGGTCGACCGTCGGCCGATGATCGGTGGCCGGTAACGGCCGTAACGTAAATCATGAGTACCGACGGTCAAGATGCGATGTCAGACGGTAAAGAAAACGGACGGTCCGAATCAATTCTTGGGCAATGTTTATCCGATTAGATCGTTCATCCTTATCCAAAACCTCGTTCTTATCCGTTAGCAAGGTGTCGCCGTTTGGAGCCGTCTTAGTGTCCGACGATGTGTTGCGACACTAAGCATCCCATGGCCACCTCCTGCTTACCCAACCGACTTAGTGACCCTATATAAACCCCCCTTCGCCTCACTTTCTACCCAGACCCGAAATAGAGAGAAGCTTGGTAGTTGGCCGGAGGAAGCTCCCGAAGAGAAGAAGAGCCTTAGGAGAAGTAGGTGAGTTCTCGGTCACGTGAAGTAGCACGTGAATAGGATAGTTTATTCTTATTTTGTTTGATTAGTCTTAACTAATTAGAGGTTTATTTTTAATTACTTAGTTAGTTTTAAGGTTAAGTTAATTAATTAGGTTTAGTAGCTCTTAGTTAGAATTAGTGTGAAAGATGGTAGTACTTAGGCATTATTACATGGGTTAGTTCCAATACTTGCTTAGCTTATTTGTTGAGATGCTTAGGTACATAGACTTTGAAGAAGTTAGAATAGTTTATGGTTAGTATTGTTGGGTGATTGCTAAACATTAGATATCTTTGATAGCTTGCTTTGCTAATTGATTGGTTGTATTGTTGTGATGCTTGGATGTTAGAGTATACCTTGGTTGATTTATATTGGATAGCTCTTAGCTTGTACTTGGTAGCATAGGCTTGTGTTGTGTCATGAAGCATGAATCTTGGATGCAAGTTGTAGCTTGCATTGTAGTAGTTGCATTTTGATACATGAGACTAGGGATGAGGACGTGTTAGTGGAGTTAGTATCGGACGGATCATGCTATCCCTGTCGTATATTGTACGCAACGCGATCATATACGAGACTCGGGGCCGGGTCGCGACGGACCGAGTAGCTAGATGACGATGTAGACAAATTTTAGTATAGACTTCGGGTCTAAGGTGGGGGATATCATGCATCCGTGAAAGGCCTTGTGAGAGTTGAAGATGCATGCATAGCATTTTAGGTTCTCCGCTGCATGTGTTGTTCGAGTCTTTGTTGTTGGATTGTTAATATTTTGTTATTGTTGTGGAATTGCTTCTTGTGTGCTAGTTCTCGATAGGGAATCCGATAGGCAATTCTTATAAGCTGCTGAGGGTAGGTAATGGGTAGATTTATTTTAGTTCCGGGCTCACTAAGTAATGCTAGATTACTTATGTTTCTACTTTAATTCTACAGGTTTTCTTAGCCGATTATTCTCATAGTGAAGCAAGTGATCTAGGCGAATCAAAGAAGGTTTTACAGCCTTTGTAAATTCTTACTATTTATACTATTTAAGAAAAGGATCTGACTCGTATAAGAGTTTTCGGTAACGATTTATTAGTATACTATACTTATGTACAAAGACTCGAATTTTCCAAAAAGCATAAATGGTTGTTCCAACTGATATTAAGTCTTGTCCGGACTTAACACAACTCTCGTTCGCGGTACGGGTTGCAAAGCCTTAGGCCGTGTCCGAGAGGTCGGGCACTCGTCGTTGGACGACCATGGTGAATGAATTCGTTTCGGGAACCTTGGTCGGCCGGCTACGGGGGTCCTAAGTAGCACTCCCTATTCGTTCTTAGTGCTA